TATATATATATATATATATATATATATATATATATATATATATATATCCAGGCCACCCAATACCATCTAATTCTTTATGTAAACAAAATTTACTCTCAATTAAATATAAAATATGTCTCCATCTAACAACAACAGAAGACTTCAACATAATATTACCACTACCCCTGACTTTCTTCTATGTTATTTGCATAGAGCTACTCAATTAGTCACCCCAACAATTCCATAACATATTATCCCCTTTTATAGTCGGGGGAATTTGAGCACAGGAAGGAAGGCTAGGTAACATTTTTAAGGTCTCTCAGCTGAAAAATGACAAACTTAAATCAGGCTCTGCATTCTGTAGATTGACCATATTACTAAACTGTAGAATATCCACAGGCAAATGAATGCCAAAGCTTGCAATAGTGCATTACATTAGAATGAAACTCTTTCTTGAATTGAAATGACAGTTGGTAAAGTGCTTATTTATCAGGCATGAAACACTTTTTCAGTACCACATAAATCAGCTATGGTGCCACACCCTTGCAATCCCAGCACTCAGGAAGAGGGAGCAGCAAGTTCTGAAGCTTAAGGTCATCCTTGGCTACCTTTATGTTGATGCTATTAAAAGGCATTATATCCTGGCATTGATACCCTTCTACCTTCTGCTTTTAATATAAAAGGATGGCTGTTGATGCCTTCTTATGATTAAGAATGGACGGACAGAAACAATATCCCCTACGAAGTGAGTCACCATGGAATCACAGCCAGTAGCTACCTCTAACTATATTGACCCAAGAGCAAATTAAACATCGGTTTACTTAAGGTGTAGATGCTCACAGCCAATTTCACTTGAAACTAGTATTTTTCAACTTAAAATCTACTGATGTCTTATAACCAGAGTTGCCAGAGTATAACCAGAGTATCATACAGCTCCACAAATGCCTGAGGAATAAGTGAGGGCTGACAAGAGTAAAAAACAGTGTAGAGGGTAATGTAAAGACAAGGTTTTCCTATGAAAAATTTTGTCTGAGGAACAGGATGCAAAATTCCATAAAGACAGTGATTGACATTTAATTTGCCATATCTCCCATTATCACAAAAGTTTAGCTGCACTTGTGAATTCGAGAGTATTGGTCTTGAATTAGATTATCAGATCCTGGCCACTTTCAAGACAATCCTCATAGACATACAGTTAAAGATAATTAACACAGAATTAAAGGTAATTAACATAGAAATTAATTTTATTTCTGGGAAGTTAATATTTCACATTTATAAAGAACAATTATCATACCTTTAATTATCACTTCCCAAACTATACACATTTCTTTGATGGGTAAATACACAATTTATTTGATATAGGGAAAATTAAGTTCCTATCAAATATCAACTAGATGGGATGGGACAGAACACAAAAAAATAAAATAAAAATGATGAATTCTTAATGCTTGGTTGTTTCAAAGTTTGGAATGCTCATTTACTACCTTAAATTTTCATACATGGGGATTTTTTAACCTTTAAAGACTTTTGAGTCGCCTGGTGGTGGTGGTGCATGCCTTTAATCCCAGCACTCAGAAGGCAGAGGCAGGCGGATTTCTGAGTTTGAGGCCAGCCTGGTCTACACAGTCAGTTCCAGGACAGCCAGGGCTACACAGAGAAAAAAAAAAAGACTTTTGAGTCATTTGCATTAGGTATAAGTTTCAAGTATTCATTATTATAAGCTCAGCCAACCAGAACAAGAGTATTAACAATAAGCCTACCTGATTTATCAAGTGAATCTAGACTAGGTCTTTGGGAATGGCTTACATTTTAAATTGATTTATTAGAGTTCTATAAAATCCTAAAGTAATATGTTTATTATACCACGGATATTTAATACTCTCCAAATGATGGTCTTCAAAATTTTGAAGAAGAAATTTTTTACCCTATAGCACAAGGGTCAATTTTATTTTTTAAAGATTTATTTTACTTATAATTATGGAGGTTGTA